TGGTGGAGCCTCCTGCCATGGTCCTGCTAGACTGCCATTGCTAATATCACTGATATTATCGTTATTATTATTACAGTTACTATTATAACCCTTTTTGTTGTTCATCGTCCCCCATCGTTGTGGCTGATAAAACTGAATTGAATTTCATTTAACTTAATTGAACCCTAAATTGCTGTGCATCGGTGTTTGAATGTGAATGAGTATTAGTTTCCTTTTAATGACCTTAGCTTTGGCCATCATTGTGTGAATGTGGCATGTAGTATAAAAGCTCTTAGCTTTAGTACTTCTTTTCAGTAGTTTTGAGTAGTTGGAAGACTAGAAAGGTGCAATACAAGTACAGTCCATTTACCATACCTACAGTGTCATATTATAAAGCATAGGGGCGCTGGTTAAGCTGCAGTATTTTACGAGTTGAAAGTGAGAACATGTTGATACTGCAGAGATGGACCTGCAGGGACCACAGATAATCCTAGTGCCTTTCAGTGGGATTGACAGTTTTGCTCATGCCCCTCTCCTTAGTGCCCAAACATGACACATTTTGTCAAGAGGATAATGCGAATAGGTGACACACTGCATATAAAAGATGAAAACCGCAAGTGAACATAGAACAGGAAATGTTTAGTGTTTTATGAGGTTTATACTTAAATACACACTTAAAAAGTCTACGACTATCCTAGCCAAAGCTAGCAAAGTAAATAAAACAGTATACATTTTGTACTTGTGTTTGTAGTACTTTATTTTCTTAATACATCATGATATTCTCATTCTGTTTCAGACATGTAGTTCAGGTGTATCATCTTCTATGAGGCTATCTTTATTTGACACTTTTTTATTTATAGGGTGTGTCATAATATCTGTCAATTTTGCAGTAAAATATTTTTATACAAGAATCCTTTTCATATATGGTAAATGGACTGTACTTATGTAGCGCCTTTCTAGTTTTTCAACCACTCGATGCGCTGTACACTACATGCCACACTCACCCCATTCACACACATTCATACNNNGGCAGTGGCTGCCATGCAAGGTGCAGACTGCTCACCAGAACGGATACTAAGCAAAAGTGTCAAATATAATTAAGAGGTGGCAGTTTAGGGGAACAGTGGAGGTCAAAATGAGAGAAAGAAGAAGAAGAAAACTCTTGGAGAGACCTGCTTGCATGCAGGTCAGAAAGGCAAATCAGAACCTCCAAGTTAATGCAAAAAACCTGCAGGAAGAATTAACAGACTCAGGAGTTCCACTGTCCAGAACTGCTTACACAAACAAAACCTTCATGGAAGAGTCAGTAGATAAAAACCTTACCACATCATAAAATCTAATGTCAGAATGCAACAGAACCTGTACAGAATTCTGAGTGTTTTGGAAACAAGTGCTGTGGACCTGTGAAGTTAAACTAGAACTATTTGGCAACAATCAAGAAAAGAACACCTTCCCAACTGCATTGGGGTGGATTTATCATGCATGGTTGGAGAGAAGAATTAATTCCACTAAATACCAGCAAATTCTGGAAGCAAACATCACACCATCTGTAAAGCTGAAGCTGAAAAGAGGAAAAAACGTCTACAACAGGATAATGATCCTAAACGTACCTCGAAAACCACCATGGACTACCTCAAGAGATGCAAGGGGGTTCACAATGAGCTCAAACCTTTGCACGTCACAGTGGTGTTTTCATTTTTATTTAGTTTATGATAAAAAAAACTACGCATGTATGTTGCATACAACTGTACATCACTTGTTTATGTGTAAAGTAGGAGAGTGGGGCACTTAAAACGTGGTCACCCTAGGGCACCACACTGTGTTAACCTGCCAGCTCCCTTAGCTACCTAGAGCTCAATTCTAAGGTAACAAAAACACAGCAGTTTTCAGGTGATTATAAACTAATGAAAAAATACCTATGAATTTTATTCCATTTCTGTCAACTTACACTTACCCTCAGGGCTGTGTGCTCAGCTGCCTACTGTTCACGCTGTACACCCATGACTGCATCCCCTAGACATGGAGACAGCTCTGTTGTGAAGTCTGCAGATGACACCACCATTATCATTGGCCGGATTTCAAACATAGATGAGAATTCAAACAGAAATCAACAATATTGCAGAGTGGTGGACAGAAAACAATCTACTGCCCAATTGTTGATTTTAGAAAAAAAAAAAAGAGGCAAAGACACCGTTTACACCGGTGGAGCAGGTGAATAGTTTAGGGTTCCTGGGGAATCAACATCACAGATAACTAGTCATGATCATCTCAACAAAGCACAGAAACGACTGTATTTCTTAAAGAAAATCAAGAAAGAAAATTCCTGTTCCAAGTTCTTCTTAACTTTTATAGAGGAGCAATAGAAAGCAACCTGATCACAAACTGGCATCATGGGATGTGCACGATCCAGGACAGGAGGACTCTGGAGTGAGT